AAAATCTTGACATTCAGAGCTGGAAGGGTCCTTGGAGATCATCCTACAGGGAGAATACAAAGTGTACACAGAGAAATACAAACTGTATCAACCAGTCGATACCAAGTATTTAGTATGAAGTTCCCACTTTTGCCAGGCAATGCATCGGGTGCTGGGGATACAAAGTATTTGTCTGCCTCCTGCTGGGGTGACCTTGGACAACCGGGCTAGCCGATGTGTCCTGTCCAGGGGTGTGACCTCATGGCCTCAGTTCAAGGTGCAGCTATCTGCTAAGCAGTTCAGCTTTGGGCAAGTCATTTCCCTTTGCTCTGCCCTGTTTCCTGATTGAGTGACTCAATGCCTTTCCTCTGAGATCCCCTCCCATTTATACCGCATATATTTCCTTGGTACATAGTTGTTGACACCTTGTCTCTTCCATTAGATTGTAAGCTCCTGGAGGGCAGGGACCCTGTTTTTTCCTTCATCTCCCCAGCGCTTATCACAGTGTCTGGCACATAGTAGGTCCTTAATGCTTGTTAACTGATGAAAGATTTTGGGGCAACTAGCTATAGCAATACCCCCATTCATCTGATGGTAAAACTAGTGGAAAGCATAACTGTTACGGAATCATAGTTCAAAGAGGGCAGGACCTAGAGTCAGAAGATTTGGCTTCAACTCCTGCATCCAATACTAGGGGGCTGTGTGCTCCTAGGCAAGCTACCGCACTGATCCTTTGTCTCTTCCTCTGTAAAATGGAGATCCTCCTTGCACAACCTACCTCATGAGGATGTTGTGAAGAATGTGATTTGCAAACTTTTTCCAATCTATATTTTTTCCTTAATCTAGCTATATTTATTTTGTTTGTGCAAAAGTGTTTAATTTTTATATTACCAATAGTCTATTTTTTAAGAATGTGATTTTGTAAACCCTAAAACCCTAACACGAATATTCATCATTAGAGCTACCAGTAATTAGAAAAGGCCTCCGTATGCCATGGAGAAAAATTGCCCCAGAACTCATGTACTTTGCTCAACAAGAGTCTGTGTGGTTGTTCAGTTGTGTTCTACTCTTTGTGACCCTATTTGGGTTTTTTTTGGCAAAGATACCAGAGTGGTTCGTTGTTTTCTTCTCCAGCTCATTTTGCAGATGAGGCAACTGGGGCAAGCAGGGTGAAGTGCCTTGGCCAGGGTCACACAACTATTGTCTGAGGCCAGAGTTGAACTCATGTGTTCCTAATTCCAGGCCTGGCACCTGAGAGTCTCAAGGCACCCTAAAATCTTGACATTTCAAGGGGCAACTAAGTGGCACAGCGGATAGAGCACTGGCCCTGGATTCGGGAGGACCTGAGTTCAAACCTGGCCTCAGACATGGAACACTTACTAGTTGTGTGACCCTGGGCAAGTCACTCAACCCCATTGCCTAGTGCCCCCCCCCCAAATCTTGACATTTCAGACCTGGAAGGGTCCTTGGAGATCATCTAACTGGAAGTCTTTCATCTTATGGACAAGGAAATTGAAGGTTGTGTTCAAAGCCAAGAGGGAAGTTAGTGGGAGAATCAGAGCTAGCACTCAGGTCCCCCAGGCCAGTACTTCTGACTCCCAGCCCCGTACTTCCCATGGGTCATAGAGTCATAACGAATATTGACTCCAGATGGACTGGATGTGTTATTTGGTTTGTTTTTGCTGACAACAAATCAGATATGGTAAGGGGTGTGTGTGTGTGTGTGTGTGTGTGTGTGTCTGTGTTTGTATAGGGGGTGAGGAGGTGAGGGAAGAGAGACAGGAGTTTGTGTGGAGGGAAGAGAGGGATGCTGGAGAAAGCCGACATGAAGCCAATCCCATCAATCAACAAGCATTAATTAGATGCCTTCCGTGTGCCGGGCACTGCCGGGGCAGGGGACTCAAAGACAAAAACTCCCTCATGAAGTTGGCCTTCTGTCTATGAAGTAACAGCCCTCAGTCCCAAAGGAGGAGCCAGGCGGCACAATGGAAACACATTCTGTGGTCTCCAAGGGTAATGAGTCAGTGATGCCATGACAAAAAAAAAAAAAATACCAACGGCTGCAGAGATTTATAGCTGGAAGTGATGGATCTCAGAGACCATCCAGTTCAATTCTCATGAGGAACCTGAAGCTCGGAGAGTTTAAATGACTTACTCAGGGTTTTACGGTCAATAGAGTCTCAAAACTGGGATTTGAATTCAGGTCTTCCTCACTCCTCTCCCACACTCTATCTACTATGTCACGGATGTAGGGATGTAATGAGATCCGTAATATGGTTCTGAGGCTGAAGTGAGAGACTTGGTGTCTAGGGTTAGGGAGGTGATAACTCACTGAATTTTGTCGGCTCAGACCATGACTGGATTATTCTTCTCTGTTCTGGGTGATTTTAGGAAGGACTTGGATAAAGTGGATAGCATTTGTAGGGGGGCAGTGAGGACAGTGAAGGGCCTTGAGTCCATATAACATCAAGGTTGGTTGAAGGAACTCGGGACGTGTAGCCTGGGAAAGAGAAGACTGGGGGGCAGAGGGGCACGATGACTCTTTTTGACTATCTGAAGGACTGCTGTGTAGACAGGAGGGATGGTGCCAAACCTGGAAGAAAGGGGGAAAGTTGCAAAGGGGCAGATTTAAGTTTGCTCTGAGAAAAAACTTCCTAACAATGGAAGCCATCCCCAAGTGGAATGGGCTGCCTTGGGAGGTAATGAGCTCTCCCTCATTAGATGCATTCAAGCAAAGGCTAATGTCCATTTGAAGGCTCTGTTGAGGGAGTTCTTCAGACAGAGGGTGCATGGGATGGTCTCTGAGGTCCTTTCCAACTCTTGAGATTGAGACCCTCTAAGGGAATGAAAGACCACTACTAGTGTAGGAGTGAAGACTTTGCCCACCTCAGCAGCCCCCAACAGCATCACTGTAAGGACAGTAAATCATGTACCTCTTGAGGTCCCCGAGTTGGGAAGGAAAGGCAGGATGTGTGCAACATGTCTTAAAGCGTCTGTTTCAAAATGGACAAAATGTAAGGAAAAACCATGATTTTCGAGGCTAAAAAAAGAAATTTTGATTTGTACATCAGACTCGTGTATGCGGGATACCTTTCTGTGTGAGAAGCTCTATGATGGCTTTGCGGTGTTTGCTCCATTGAGAGGCTGATAGAGAGACGGCTACTCAGTTAGAAAGGCCTGGGTTTGAACCTATCTGACGTGTCCCGGCTGTGTGGCCCTGGCCAATCACTTCATCTTTTGGTCCAGGCAAGCTCTGCTCACCGAGCAGGGGCTGATCTGCATTGGCACAAGGAGTTCCCCACAATAATGAAACCAGAGGCCCGATATTGAAAAAAGAGGCCCTCAACTTGGTGTATCACGGATCCCTCTGATGGTCTTCTAAGGATGTTTCTAATGCACCAAATAAAATATATAGGGTTAGAAAGGAAACCCATTCTATGGAAATGCAGCGATCAGAATTGGAATATCCCAAAGTCTAGACTTTTGGGACACCCTGTATTAACACAGACAGCTCATGGACACCTGTTAAGGTCCTTGATGGAGGACCCACAGAAGGGCTGTTGGAAGGTCCCTTAGGACTATCCAGTCCAATCCCTGACAGAGAAAAATATCTTCTAACACTTATTAACAATGGCTGTCCCACCTTTTTTTTTTCTTTGCTAGGCAATGGGGTTAAGTGACCTGCCTAGGGTCACACTGTTAGTATCAAGTGTCTGAGGCCGGATTTGAACTCAGGTCCTCCTGAATCCAGGGCTGGTACTCTATCCACTGCGCCATCTAGCTGCCCCTTGTCCCACCTTTACTTCAAGAATCTAGGCAGCCTTGAGTCAGAGGTCAGGAGGAAGTGCATCTCAGGCCTGAGTGCAAAGAAGTGGAGATGGGACGGCCATAGATGAGAAACAGACCAGTCATCATAGCGGGACCGCAGGGTACTGGGAGAGGAGTGATGGGCAGTAAGTTTGGAAAGGGAGACTGAGGCCAGGTTGTGAACGCCATAGGAATTTGTACTTGATCTAGAGGTAATGGTGCTACTGGTGGCTATTGGGTCTGGCAGTGACACGGTCACGTTATGGAGGATAGTGGGGCGGGGTCCAGATCAAAGGGGATGAAGGCCTGGAGGCAGCTGTGGAAGGGGAGGGAAGGGCTGAGGTAAGACGTTGGGAGGGCAGAAATGACAATTGGTAACTGAGTGATTTGCCATGATTCAGTGCTTTGCCATTGGCTTTGCTGCTTCAAGTTGAAGAACCAGGCCAGGGTCTCACTGGGAGGTCTGCTGCTTAGAACACGAGCTCTGCGAGAGGAGAGGCTGCCTGATTTTTCTATTTATGTCCTCAGCAACTAGCACAGTGCTTGGCATACAGTAAGTGCTTAATAAGTGCTTTTCTCATACATGTCAGTGTTTGTAAACTTGTGTTAGGGGCTCAAGGGATCTTGGAGGCTCCTACCCAAAGCAAGAAACTCCTCCACGGTATTCCCTGCAGGAGCTCCACTTGCACACCTCCAGTGATGGGGGACTCAGTACCCACTCCACTTTGCAAGTACTCAGTGGAAGCTACTTACCGTCTCCCTCAGCTTTTCCATTCTCTTCTGCTGTGACAGTCATGCTGAAGGGGTCAAGCACCATGAGTTCTGATGTGAAGGACCGGGCTGGGGGAGGAGGAGGGCATGGACAGGAGCTGGGGGTAGTAGCAAGTCAGTGGGTGCTGAAGGTGCTGGGGCTGGGGAGGCCTGGGCGGGCTCTGAGGGCCATGCCACATCTCCCAGAGGCCCGGATGTCCCTACCAGCTCTGTGACCCGGGACAGAGGGTCTCCAAGGCTCGTCCTGGGCATGAGGAAGCCTGGCTGGTGCACTGCTGGGGGCATGATGGTGTCATGCTCGAGGGACCTCTGGGGGATGCTTGGAACTCTCCCGAACAGCTCTGGCTCACTCCCCAACCCTTTTGCCACTGTCTGGGGGGTCTTTGCACTGTCCAGCTCCAGGTTTCCCCTCCTAGGACTGAGCCAACAAAGGGCCGGAGGCATTGCTTTTCCACCTTTAATATGGATACACAAAAGGCCAATCTCCCAGTTACATGGACACCTCTGGGTCAGCCCAGCCATGCCCTGCCCAGTTAGGGCCTCATTTCCTCCCACATGCGTGTTCTCCGCTGCTGAAGAGACTGCCTGGTCATGAGGTCTTGCCCTGATGTTAACTCCCATTCCCCAGGAAGAGAGGGGACACGGGTGGGTGGGGTGGGTGGGAGGGGTGTCATGAGCAGGGAGCTCTAAGGCACAGCTGTCAGACCTGGCCTGGGGGGCTGAGGAGAGACCAGGCTCACCCCTGCTTGCTCTGCTGATGGAGCCTCAGTCCCATTTGTGCGCTCTGGTACCTGGACTTTGTGCAGCTAGAAAGGGGCCCATGTGGGCTTCTCATTCTGAGGGCCTGGGGACAGCCTGGGAAGGGAGGAACTGGAACCTTGTGCAGCATTCCTGGGGGTCGGCAGGAAGGGGGACTGATTGTCCAAGGGCTGGATCTTGGAGAAACGTCATAAACCTGACGGGATGTTTAGGGGAACAACATGGACCCCCCCCATCCTTGTGGGCGAGCTGGGTCTGGGATCCTCAGACAGGACTGAGAACTCAAACTACGGGCCGGGTGGGCAGAGAAGGCCACCCTGGGGAGAGGTACATGGAGGAGAGTTGCCCTGAGAGAGGAGGAGACCACAGTAGGTCGACAGAAGCAGTCAGCCTAGAGGTGGAGACTACGGAAACGGCGGGCGTTGAGTTGTGCCACAAACCCTCAGCAGAGGTAGTGGTTGGAGGGGGAGGGGAGGGAAGAGGCCAGAAGACAGCCGAGCACCCTGCCCTCCCGCTATGGGCCATCCACCCCGACCCTCTGCACGTCCCGGCCCAGCCCAAGCTACCTCCTGGGATAAAAGCTAACAAACCACCCAAAGCAGCCTAATGGCTGAGGCTGGAGGAGAGGCCCAGCAGGACCTCCCTGTCCTGACCCCGGCCTAGCAGGTAAAAGGAAAGGGGCCTCCAGTCCCCTTGGGTGCAGTGCCCTCGAACTCAGGGCTCACAAGGCAAAGAGGGAGTCATCGTCTTTGTCCTTCCTCTTCTGGGGGGCAGAGCTGGGTGATCCTTCTGGAGGGCTGGGGAGCGTGGGGAGCCTCTCGGCGGCCTTTGCCCGTTCTTCCAGGAATTTGTCAAATTCTTTGATGGAAAGAAAGAGAGGAGAGTTAGGATGGCCAGAATACAGCAGATGGAGTGTCTACTGCCAGGGAGAGGGTTACACCGGCTCCAGAGGGCCGAGGAGGATCACAGAGCCATTGCCTCCCAGTAGAGAGGCGGTGGTTAGAAGGGATCAGTGTGTCGGTTTGCTTTTGCCTAATGGTTCTTCTTTATTACAAGGGAGGCTTCTACTTGGAGAGGGGTGTTAGCATTGGAAAAGGGCAGCAACGCCCCAAAAAGCATCAATAAAACTTTTTCTTAAAATAAAGGGAGACGGGGGTAAAGTTTGTTTATTGTAAACCACGGAGTTTCCTTACAAGAAACAAGATGCTTATGTGGGCGTGCCAAGAAAGGAGGGGGGGAGGAGAGGAGGAAAGGAGACCACTACCTTCGCTGGTGACCCCTTTGGAATCCTCCGCTTCATTTCCCTGGGGAAGAAGGAAAAGGATCATGGGATCATGCCCAGCCCGAGGAGCCGGATTTACTCGAAGTCACAAAGGAAGTGGGGGCAGAGCTGGGACGTGGCCTCTCTCTCTGCCTCTAGGGTCAAACCCTGCCACACAGACACGGAGAGAGGCCCCCATGGCATCCCCACCGAGCTGGCATCCATCTCCTTCCTGGAGACCTTCAGTGCTGAGGGCCTCACGGCCCTCAGTCCCTCGGGTAGCCTTCACTGATATCCAGGATAACGAACGGTGGGGGAGAGGAGGCGGAGACCTCCTCCAGAGGCGTTCCACGAGTTTGGATCGTGGGCCGTCCAAGGCCTCTTTGGCTTCACGCTCAGAGTCCTTCACAGGCCCGGCCCAGCCTCCCTCTCCAGCCTCCTCGGATCCTTCCTCTCTCTTTCTCGCTCATCACGGGCCCTCTCCCGCCTCTGTGACTTTGCATGACGGGCCAGGAATGGCCTCCCTCCTCACCCCCACGTGTGGAATCCCTCAAGCAACAGCTGTGTGAAGCCTTTCCCAACCCTCCCCCACCCCACCTTCTCTCCCTAAGGGCCGTGTGCAGATCTGCATTTATTCAGGTTCCGTTCCTATAGATACTTGTCGCCCCCATTGGAATGTAAGTCCACCCAGGGACTGTTTCGCTCTTTGTGCTTTGTAGCTGACTGACTGGTCAAGAGAAGAGGGATGTGATGGATTGGGACAGGGCAGGAGATGGGCTCGCCATCCCCCCCAGCCAAGACCCCAAGGCTGACTTCACCAGGGGAGGAGGGAGCCTTAGCCCCGGAAAGCCCTGGAAGTCTGGGTGCGAGCAATGCCGGTGGCTCTGCTCCTTTCCCCACCTTCTCTCAGAATCTTGAAGTTGGGGGGGGACCTAGGGGCTCTCTATTCCAAATCATACACGAACGACATACCTGACCTGACGGGCCCCTGGCCTGGGCTGGGAGAGGGGAGGGGCCCACTGCCCCTGTCCCTTTCTGGACATCTTGAGCTGTTAGGAAATTTCCCCTTCCCTGGAGCTGAAATCTGCCCCTCGCATAGTCCAAGTGGCCCCTTATGGTTGGGCCGCTGACCTCCTCCCTTGGAGGGGGGCTCCCAACGCTGTCTGCATGTCTCCTTATGTCCCTGGGCCTCAGTTTCCTCAGCTTTAAAAGGAGGGGTGGGATTAGACGGGCCCTTCTCCCTCGCTTCCAGTCTTCTTCCACTTCTCTGCCCTCCACACCCATGCCAGGCAGCTACGTTGGCCTTCTCTCTGTCCTTGGCCCAGCCCTTCCACTGCCCAGCTCTGATCTAGCATCCTAGAAGCCCCCTCCTCAGGCTCCCCGGCTCTTCCTGCTCTGCCTGCACATCCTTTCATGGGGGAAGGGTGAGGGGTGCTGGTGGTCCTGCCTCCCTAGCTGAGGCCCTGGCTCCTTGTCTGCTCCCCCGAGGGACCAGTACGGGCGTGAGCCAGTCTCATCAGGCTTTGCTGCCCATGACGCTTGGGGCCTTACTCAGGGCCTGGGGGCTACTCACCACATCGGTGGAAAGCCACTGTTCAATGTCCTCCATGAGGGAGGCCTGAGTGATGGGGATCTGGAAGGCAAGTAGAGAGACGCGTGAGTATGAGCCGTACGAGCCACGGTGCCCAGAGGGGGCCGCCTGCCTGCAGCATGGTGGGTGACTCAGGAAGCACCTTCCATGGTCAGAGCCTGGGGTCAAGAGCGAGGAAGGCTGGGCCCAGGCTTGGCTCCCCTGTGTGCTGGCCAGGTGGCCCCGGGGCAAGCCCATGGCCTGAGACTCAGAGCGCTTTTGGAGAGCTCCTGGCTCCAGCCAGCCAGTTGTTTGTCCTTTGTTTTTGAAGAGGCCCCAAGACATCATAAGGGTGCCCAACCAGATTAAGAAGTGGCCGGGAAGTGTTTAAGAAAATAAATAAAAACACAACACAATGTTAGTTTGTGGTCGGTACCGCTGGACTGGAGGGTAAGTGACCTGTCCAGGGTCCCACAGCCAGGACGTGTCAAAGGCTGGGCTTGAACCTGAGTCCTGGCTTGGTGGGTTCAGGTTCACAGGAGGGCTCTGGAGTTCCTCCTCCAGCTCACATCGTTACAGGATGGAGTCTGGCAAGATCATGACAGTGAATGGGGCGGGGCTTCTGGGCTTCCCATGGACAGCTGGGCCTGGGGAGTCTTGAGACAGACAGTGAGCAGCAGCCCAAGCCTCATGTGGGCCAGCGGTGAAGACCCCTCCTAGTCCAGGGGTGCTCCCTTGGGGCTGAGGGGCTCGAGCCCCCACACTGACTGAGGCTCGCGTCCAATGCCCACCCCTCCTCTGCTGCCGGCCCTCTGATGGGGCACCATGGACCAACCCCTGCCTTCCCGTATCTGCCTCTGAAGGCTCAGAGCTCACAACAGAGCCTTATGAGAGGCCAGAAGGGACGGCAGCGTCACGATCAAGAAAAACTGGCTAGCCTGATGTCCATGGCCAGCGGCTGCTGCATGGGGTCCTGGCTGCCAGACAGACAGCAAGGGAGTCTGAAAGGGCTGGTCTGTCTTCATAAACCATGGCCAGGACATAATGGGAGGAGAGGGGGAAAGAGGGATAGGGATGAAGAGAGGGAGGGAAGGAAGAGAGGACAATGATAGAGAGGAAGGGGGAGAGGCAAAGTGGGGGACAGAGGGAGGGAACAAGGGGGAGAAGAAGATGAGATGAAGAAGAAGAAAGGGGGAGGAGGGGGGAGGAGGGGGGGAGGAGAGAGAGAACATGGATTGGGATGGGGAGGGCAAGTGAGAGAAGGAGAGAAGGAAAAAAAGAAGAAGAGAGAAGAATGGAGAGGGGAAGAGAGATACAGGCAGAGGGCAAGGGGGAAGGAGAGACAGAGGATGGAGAGGTAGTGATGAATGGACAGAGACAGCAAGAGACGTAGAGAGAAAGGGAGAGGGAGGGGCAGGGAGAGAGTCACAGAGAGAGAGAGATTGTTTCCACCCCCGGCACTCATCCCCTCCAGGGGCCATCAGCCCAGAATGGTTCAGAAAACTTCCCAGGGCAGAAGGCACAAAGGACCAGAGCCAAGCAGCAGGGGCCCCCCGGGCACCATCACCACCGTGGCCCTTCCAGCCCTGCTCTACTTGAAAGCCCAGCCCAGGGAGAAAGCTCTCCCCAGGCCTGTTCCCAGGCAGCCTAGGCCAAGGGCCTAACCCTGAGGAAGCGCCAGATGCCCGGGGCTATCGAGGCAGAAGCAGAAGGGAGAGCCCGACCCAGCTGCAGCAAAGTGACCAGCGGCCCGAGCCCTTGGGCAGCCTGCACCCGCCTTCCCAGGCTGGCAGAGAAGCACGTGGGGACTCTTGCAGCCCAGGCATGCCCAGACAAGGGGAGGCCCCTGTGGGCTCACTGTCCCCTTGCTGCTTCTCCCTTGTCCTGGGCTCCCCTGGCCCGGCCTCACCATTCCCTGATTCGCCATCCAGGCGCTGAGGGCCTCCTCACTGCTGCCTTCCATCTAGTTGAGAAAATGTTAGGAATGAAGGCTACGGCAAACAGGGCAGACGCAGGACACTGGGGTCCCCAGGAAGGCCAGGTCTTCTCCTATGGGGAGACTGATTCAAGACACCTTACTGTTTTTTAAGGAACAGAGGGAAGAAAGAGGGCTGCTCCATCCCCTGGCCCCCCTGTTACAGAGAGCCTCTCATGCTCTGAATGAGCGTCTTGGTCCAAGGATCCAAATGGCTCCAAGAGAATGGGCCTGAGAAGTGAGCTCATAAGCTTCTGGGGTGCAGTAAGTGAAATTCGGGGGCTTGTAGGCTCTGACTGGAGCCCAGGGGTCATTTTGTGCAGTCTCCTGCTCTAGGGAGGAATCTCTTTTCACAATTCCCATGAGTGATTATGGACAAACTCTCTGCTTGAATACTTTCAGTGACGGGATGCTCACCACCTTTTGAAGAGCTATCACCCCCCCTTCTCCCCCTGCAAAAATCGCTAATATAATTTCCTTTTGGACATTATTAGGGTCCTTCAAACAGGAATGGTAACACAAGCTTCATTCACAAATAGTAATAATGACTGAGATTCTTCCTTTTTGGAAATCTGTCATGCCCACTATGACCCCGCTCCCACCCCCAACTGCCAAGACACTGGGTGTACTCCAGTCCCCTCAGGGTTTGAACCATGTGTCTGGGTCACTGATCGCATTCAATTCTGGACATTATCTATTATGTCGGAGCCAGCTGTGTGACTCTGGGCAAGTCACTGACCTTCTCTGAGTCTCAGTTTCCTCATTTGTAAAAATAGAGAGCGCTCGTCTGGGAAGTGCCTGCCCTTAGAGAGTGTGACATGGGAGGGATCGGGACAAGTCACTGTCGGCACTGCTTTCTAATCATTTCATGTGTGACGGGAGGGGATGGGGTGGGGGGACAGTATAGCACAGTGGACAGCTCACTGGCCTAGAACTCAGGGGGTCTGAGGCCAAATCTGTGCTGTACTTCTGGCCAGCCAGTCCAGGGCCTCAGTTTCCTCCTTTGAGAAACGGGGGCAGGCCTGGGGCTCAGCTCCCTCCTCTGTCAAATGAGGCTGTTGGGCCAGATGTGGCCTCAAAGGTCCCTTCCAGCTGTGACGGTCCATGAAAAGCCTCATTCTTATGACCATCCCAAGGACAGGCCTTTACTGGGGTTGGAAACAGACCCCAAGTCCACCAAAGACTAATAAAGCAATGAAACAGACCCCAAGTCCACCAAAGACTAATAAAGCAATGCCCCCCTCTCCTAGCGTTTTCTTGCAAATGCCCCTCGCCCCCTGCCACCCCTCCTCCCTCCATCCACCCCTGACATCTGTGAACTCCTGCTTGGCTGTTTGCTGGAGCTCTTGGGACACAGAGCGGGAAAGGGCCCCAGGGGCCCCACAATTTTGTAGGGGCAGAACCTGAAGCCCAGTGAGGGAAAGCAACTTAGATCCTGGGTCCAGAGGGCAAAGGGACTTGTCCAAGGTCAGACAGGCACTAAGCAGGATTTGAACCCAAGTCCTCTGCCTCTGAGTAGAGCCTATCACTAAAAACCCACTGGGCCTCCAGGTGGTATAGTGGCTAGTGTGGCAGTCAGGAAGACCTGAGTTCAAATCCTGCCTTGGATGCTTACTAGCTGTGTGGCCCTGGGCAAGTCACCGAATGTCTCACGTACTCTGCCATGATGCTTCTCCGCTGGGTCCTGCCACCAATGAGCTGTATTACCTTGGAAAAAGTGCTTCCCCTCTCTGGTTTCCATTTCCTTCTTTATAAAATGAAAGGGCTGGCCTAGCTGACCCTGGTGTCCCATGCATCCTTGGCCCATTCCCTGGATGGTGAATTGAGTTGAGCTAACCCCGTCTCCCTTCCCAGTATCCCCCACTTGAAACCAGCAAACATGCCTCAGTCTGCTTTCTGAGTGAGCTGTGGCTGGGACACAGAAAGCGGGGGTCTGCCTGGAGTCTGAGTGCGGCCCACGTAAAGGTGTGCTTGGCACCTGCATGTCCAACCCTGAGTTCTGGCCCAAAGCTTCCTCACAGGACCCTAGGTTTAGGGACAGAATTCCAGGAACTGAGGAGGTCCCTGAATCGAATCTTCCCATTTTAAAGATGAGGAAACTGAGGCCTAGAGAGCTGAAGGGATTCATTCAGGGTTAGTGTCTTGCTGACTCCAAGGCCAGAGCTCTCCCCACTCTGCCATCCTGCCTCGCTGGGTAAGCCTGGGCGAGTAGCCTGTGACCACTGAGCCATGAGTACACCAGCACCTGTGGGCAAGGACTGTTTGGGTTTTGTGTCTGTACCCAGTGGCAGGTTGGTCTGGGTGCGAGTGGTGGGCACTTCCCAGACTTACCGCTCCAGTGCTCTGTTGCCGGGCATCCAGGGCTCCCGCCAGTCCGTCCTTAGCCTGGGGCGCTTCATACTTGACTCTGAAAGAGACAAATGTGGTGGTTCAGGATAAAGCTAAGCCAAGGATGGGAAACATGGGTGACAAGAAGGCGCTGCAGAGTCCCCCAGTGTCTCAGCCAAGGGAAGACCCATGCATGTCTCCCTGGGCCTCATCTCCTTCCTCTGCAAAACGGAACCTGGCTCAGTCCTCACCCACTGGGATGTCTGTAAGGCCAGGGCTGGAGGCAGGCAGACCCAAGTCTCAATCCTGCCCCAGACACTTAGCTGTGAGACCCCAGGCAAGTCCCTTCTCTCCCAGCCTTGGTTTCCTCATCTGTAAAATGGGGATAAAGACTGTGCCAACCATCCAGGGCTGTTGGAAGGAGTCGAGGAGACAATATTCATAAAGCACTTTGCAAACCTTAGTGTCATGGGGGGCCGGAAGGGGCGGGAGGGAGCCATGGAGGAGGCTTCCACCCAGGCCATCTTGCCGGTAGCCACTCCTGCCCCAACCTCTCTACATCCCGCTCTGGGAAGAGCGATCCCATCAGCTCTGCCCTCGTCCCTGGGCAGGGTACCACAGCTGATGATCTGTGGGCTCCCTGGGACTCCTCCAGGCCACCAGGCCCCTCTATGGTTTCCCCTGTTAGAGTGTAAACTCCTTGAGGGCAGGGCCTACCTTTTGTTTTGTCTCCAGAACCTAGTACAGTGACTGGCACATTAATAAATGCTCATCAATTAATTAATGAGGCTGCAAGCTGCCACCCAGAGCCTCATGTTCACCAAAGAAACCACTAACAGGACATCAGTCCTGGGGACCCTTGACCTCTGGACCCCAATTCTCCCATTCAGGCTCCGTCAGTGACAAGCGCCTTTAAACCACGGAGCCTCCTCTCCAGGGCGAGCTCAGACGCCACCTGAACCAAGTGGAGCCAGCCCGCCTGGCCTGGAGGAAGCCAAGTGGGAAGGCGGCCGCCTCTAGCCCCAGAATGGGATGCCCATTCATGGAATGTCCCAGAGGAGAATCGCACAGGCTGGGAAGGCACAGGGGCCGCATTCCGCAACTGTGGGGGGTGTGCCGTTACTGGTGAGGATGCTATCAGAACTCTGAGTAGAGGACGAGTCACAGGACGATGGTAGGGACCTCCGGGCTCACTGGATCCACAGAGGTCATGTGGCTTGTCCAGGGTCACCCAGGTAATCAAGCCCAGACCTCACCCTCACGATGTCATCGGTCCTCTTTGAGAATGAAGGACAAACAACAATAGGGAAGTGTCGAACCTCGGTCTTCTGCCTCATATCCAGCCCTGCTGCCCCTCAGCCCACCATCCACAAAAGAGCCCAGGGGAGTTAGGTCTTCTCATTCCGCACATTCTGGTGGCCAACGTAGGATGTTATCCCCACTGAGGCTGCTAGGGGGCGCCACAGCACCGAGAGTGCCTGGCGTCAGGAAGACCCGAGTTCAAATTCAGACTCTTGATAACTACTAGCTGGGTGGCCCTGGGCAAGTCACTTAGTCCTGTGTGCCTCAGTTCCTCATCTACAGAATGGGGGTCATGATAACATCCACCTCCCAGTGTTGGAAAGCGTTTAGCACGTAGTAGGCACTACATAAATGCTCATTTCTTTCCGTTTCTTTCCCCTCTCCCCTGCTCCTGGTCCAGTCCCACGCATTCTTCCTCCATTTCATCGGCCTTATCTACATTATCTGCCTCATCAGCACCGCCCCATTGGGATGATGCGGATGGCCCTGGCTTGGACCCTGCCCTCAGGATGACCTCAGTGATCCTGGACAGCTCTGGGGGCAGGACTCAGGGACCCAGGACGGCTGAGGCAGACGGAGCAGAGGACTGGACGTGGACGCAGGAGGACCTGGGCTCAGACCTCATGGCGGATGCTGATTTGATCTGTGGCTGTGGGCAAGCCACTCACCTCAGTTTCCTCATCTGTAAACGCCAACAACCTCAGGCTCAAAGGCAGGGCTGTATGTGGAGGTCTTAGCTAACTCTTAGGTGACAGATAAAATGTCATCTAGATTGTTATTAGGACCCAGAAGGCAGCAAGAGGCCAGCCAGTACGCTGTCTGTCAGTCACTCAATAAACATTTGTTAAGCACCTTCTATGTGCTAGGAGCTGGGGATGCAGAAAGAGGCAAGAGACAGTCCCTGGCCTCAAGAAGCTCACAGTCTCACCCAAGCAAATATATATAAACAAGCTACAGAAAGGAGAATTAAGAGGGATAGGGAAAAGTTTCCAGTAGAAGGTGGGATTTGAGCTGGGACATAACCCTACAAAAGCCCTGAGAGGCAGGTGCTATTATTATCCCCATTTTACAGATGAGGGAACTGAGGCAGAGGAAAACGAAGCCATCTGCCTGGGGTCACCCAGCTAGGAAGCACGTTAGACACAAGATTCTAAACCACATCTTCCTGCCTAGAGTCCAGCCCTGGGAGACAAGGCAGCCTCACCTGGGAGTTCCCAAAGGAATGACAACATCGCTCTAAGTCCTATCATTGTTTTTGTCATGACTGACTCCCAGGACACAGAGTGACGCCCATTTTCCTTCCTCCACAGCCCAGTGAAGTGAGTCACTCCATTCTTTTGGCAGCATGAAGGGGGAGTCTGGGTCCAAGCCTCTCCAGACTCAGACGGAGTCCAGAGAATGCAACCAAGGCTGAGAAAGGTGGGGAGCCTGGCGCAGGCCGGGAGGCAGCCTAGACCTCATTCCAGTGGCCAGGAAAATGAGGGAAGACAGACACTGTTGTGTCTCAGAGCTAGGCCCCGGGGGGAGCCAGGGCGTAACCAGGGGGTGGGGCAGAGGCCTTGTAACTTCCCTGATCTCAGGGAACCCAAGTCTGGAGGGCACCTGGCAGATAAAGGCAGACCTCATCCAGCGCCCAGAGCAGGAAATGGCCCAGTTCTGGGCAGGCGGGCCAGGTGGGCTGTGATTGACCCACATGAGCCTCTGGACACCTACGCTGGGGGGGGGGGGGCAGCAACCGAAAGCTCAGTGAGTGACCCCATGACTTCCAGATCAAGCTAAACACTCTCCTGGCTCGTAGGCACAGCTGAGTTTACTCTGGCCTTAAAGGGGCCTTGCAAATGAGTTTTCCCAAATTCCTAGCCCACATCTCTCAAGGTCATTAAGAAGGAACTCACCAAAGAAACATTGCTGGGATTCTTGCTGCCTGCCCTAACACCCACCATGCATCTTACTTTTGGGATGTCAGTTAGGCAAGTCCCAACCTCTCTGGGCCTCAGTTTCCTCATCTGTCAAATGTGAGTACTAGAAACAACTGGCCAAGCCACTGAGGCTCAGCTCGTTTTAGAGAAGATAAAAGGGAGGCTGAGCTGGCACGTCTAGCCCAGGGCTCTTCCTACTACACCACACTTCCTCCAGTCCTGACACAGAAATAGAGACCCACAGACAATGCCTGCAGACCCCCATGCTGAAAGGGTTGCAGGACTTGCCTTCCCTTTAGAAAGGCAGACATCAGTTCACTAAGAAGCACACCTACTGTGTGCCTCACACCCCTCACTGTTCACCAGGAGGCACACCTACTGTGCACCCTGCATCTCTCGCTGTTCACCAAGAAGCACACCTACTGTGTGCCTCG